CCCGGAGCAGCTTTTCTCGCCCCGGAGGTCGAGGTGGTGGGACCGCTGCGCTCTGGGTGGTCCCGCTGCCTACGAACTCCGGGGCAAGAAAGCCCCGTTCGTAAGTGCGGATCCAACATAAGTCGGATCCGCGTAACTCGGGGACTGCCTGTTTTCATTTTTCCTAGTCATTATTTCTTTTTAAAGGCTGCAATCAGCCACGGCAGGGTTTTTTTTCTATTCTAAAGTTGCGTATATTATAGACTTTGCAGCCTCTAGGGTTCTTTCCAAGTTTGAACATGGAAATTTTATTACAAAAATCTACACAATAGCTCTGCTTTTTTTCAAACAGATATGTAGAAAACTTACTGGGCTTGATTATTACTTACGCAAGGCCCTTTTTAGACTTCTCTGGAAGTCTGAAGGGGTCTTACTGTAAATATCTGGAAAAACTAGCAATTTAGATACCGACTATACTGGAGAAAATTATTTTTGTTGGGGGACTCAGTCTCCTGACAAGGATAACACTGGTAGGTGTTAAGTGCTCTTGGAACACATTCCTGCTGGCTTTGTCTATTTTAGGCCTCTTTTTCTTAAATATTCTATGGCTGCTGCTACCAGAGAGAGGCACAATGGGAATGTCTCAGTAGCAACTATCATTTTACCATCTGTGCCTGCTTTTAGACCATGGGTTCCCAAACTGGGGGGGCATGAAGAAATTCCAGGGGGGACGCAAGGTGATCCAGCCTTCTCTCCCCCCCCCCCCCCCCCCATCAGACACACACACACACACACACGTTTTGCTGCTATTTTTGTTTTTCATCCTCGGTCAGTTCCTTTTATTCCCTCGAGTTTTGCTGCTGCTTTTTTGGGGGGGGGAGGGGGGGGCTGTCTCAAAAATCAAAAAGGGGGCGTGATGCCGAAAAGTTTGGGAACCGCTGTTTTATACTGTATCCTAGTTTAGGAGTGTAGATGGTAACTTCCAAGACACACATTTGTGAAAGCTGACAAGGGAGCTGCTGTTGTATAACTGGATTTCCCAATGTGACTGTTGCTTTTTTGAAGTCAGCCCTGACGGGTGGGGAAAGGGGGACGGGGTGACAGTTGCCCCAGGACCTAGCAAATCAAAGAGGCCTGGAGCTTGTGGCAGCAGCCAGAGGCCTGGGCCCTCTAAATCGCTGCCGGAAGGCTGTATAGCACACTCCATGCCGCTCTGAGAGCTGTGGGGAGGGGCGCTGCTGGTCTCTGGGCAGTGCAGAGAGCTGGCTGCTTCAGCCTATCCCTTTGGAATCACAGAGCTGCCCTTCCCCTCACCTTGCTCGAGGGCCTGCGCAGCCTCTTGCTTCCCCTATTTGAAGTATTATTACCTCAGCCTCTATGCTATAGATTAGGGGTGTAATAGTGTAGCCGATTAACTGATAAGCAAAAGCTTATTGGTTAATGCTATAGACTACACGCATTTCCCCCCCTACCAGTAAATTTTGAGCAGACTGGCCAGCAGCCTGTCTCAGTCCTGGCTTGCTGTGGGTCCAGGACCTACCCCTGTTGCGGCTCTGCATTTAAAGTGTTATTGGGAGGTAGACAGGCAGGCAGCCCTGCTCAGTTTCAGCTCATGCCAGGTCCAGAAGCTTAGACAGCCCCACCCCCTCCCCAAACAGGGGCTGCTGCCACCCCTGTATCAGAGGCAGCAGCCTGGGGTGACAAGCATCCAGTCCGCAAGGGGGGCTGGGTTTTAAACTGGCTCCCCTCATAGACCAGTTCCCACCTGGCACCCCACGCTGCTGCCTCTGATACTGAGGAAGCAGCACAGAGTGGCAGAGAGCTCCCAGGGAGTGGGGCCAGGTTGCATTGGTTGTCAGCCCTGCCCCCAGGGACTATAGAATAGTTGAGTGACTGAGAAAAATGCATGAGGTTACTTGACTATTCAGTTTACTGATATTTAACATCCCTAGTACAGATGAGTGGTAGCCTGAATAGTGTTCAAACACCCTTCTAGCAAGGTGCTAACTGTGTTCCTTTGCTCGAGGCAGTCTGGGCCTATACACAGTATAAACAATTCCAAATGGCTTTGCAAAACTACAAAAGACTTTCTAAGAAGTTTTTTAAACTCATTTTTTAAATGTTTTATTTCAAAAGTTTTTTTTCCAGCAGTATGCTAGCTTTCACAGGATGTATTGAAAACTTTATATATTTGCTGAAAGCCACATGAACTTTGTTTTACTTCTGGTAAGACTTCTCTAATTTGGGGGGTGGGGGGATTGCAGATTTTTGCATATTTTGTAAGCAGTTTTCATTTCCAGAGATGTTTTCAAATTCAATTAAAGTTCTGTGATATATTGGATGCTGTCCTTTTAAATGGGCAGGATTTAGTGATTTTTTTTTCTTGTGTCCCCCTCCCTTCCTCCCATTTCAGGCATATTCAGAACATGAGTGAGATAAAGACTGATGTAGGCCGAGCACGAGCATGGATAAGGTTGTCTCTTGAAAAGAAGCTTTTATCTCAGCACCTAAAGCAGCTTCTCTCCAACCAAGCACTCGCTAAGTAAGAGTAACTTATTGTTCTTAAATCATTGGTTTCACAGTACCCTGATTAGGTTTTAAGGTTGCCCTGTGAACTATCTGGCTTTGCAGCTGATCTGGGACTAAAGCTAGCTAGCACCAGTCAGAGAGAGGGTGTTGTATGAGTCTGGATTTGGGATGGTCTGTTTCCTGACACCCTTTATCAAGACCCTGTCAATTTTTGGATTGCTGAGGTCCTTCCAGAATTAGCAGATGGAAGGGGAAACACCCAGCACAACTTGCAGAGCCTGAGCAGAGTCAATTAGGACATCATGCATTCCTCACTCCACAAAAGGAAGGTTTGAGGAAAGCTTGAACCAAGAGGGGACTCAGACAGGGTAGCTGTGCCTTTAAATAGCATTAGTTCCCATCCACTGCTCTTCGCAGACTTAGTGAAGACCACAGCTTACCTTAGTCCATTTCCTCTTTGTGGGAAACAAATGGCCCCAGTCCATTTACAAATGCAGACATGTCCATAGTCTTCACAACAAGCCAACTTTCAGCCACTGGATTAATTAATTTGAAATAGAGAGCTGCAACGGGGTGGGATTCCCTTTGCTCCCCCTCACCTTTATTGAGCCTTCATACATCATTTCTCTCTATATATATTTTTAAAGGTTTTTCCTGCAGGACAACTGAGTGACGTCATCACGTTGCTCTGCGTCCCACCTGCCTCCTTCCTCTCCCCCAGCTCCAGCCCAACCTCACTGCTTCCCCTCACCACTTGGAATTGCTATTTTAAACCAAGCTCCTACTCCCCTTCCTCCGCCCTCCACCCCACAGGGCTTTCAGTGCCAAGAAATATGGCACAGTAGCCGGCAGACCCCACATCGCAGCCTGCCTGGGAGGGAGGGTGCTGTGCTCAGGACAGCAACCCGGGGACAGGCGGTAGGAGCGGAGTCCCCAGACAGGTTTATGTGCCAGCAGTGGGCTCTTGGGGGCTCTCCCACTTCCAGGTTCTTGGGGAGCCGGAACACAGTGCCTGAGCACCCGGAGTCCGGCTGCCCTCGCAGAGACTCATCCCCTCCCCAGTGGCTGCACTACCCTTGGCTGGCACAGCAACCTCAATCCGCCGCACCAACCTGTCTGCTCCTTCCTTTCCACTCCCAGCAGGCAGGGCTGGGGCAGCGAGCAGCGCAAGGGACGGCCGGGGGGAGAATTCAGGACAGCGGCCCCCTGCACCGCGACTTTCCCCACCTCAGCAAGCTGCAGTGTCCTGGAGTGCTGTGTCTGCACAGCGCTACCTGTGCCTCACTGCACCCCGTGTGAGGTGGGCAGGCACCCCTGCGCCTCCCCGGCCACTGGGGTTAGAACAGCAGGGATTAGGGTTGAGGGGGGAGGGAAAGGGCCTGGGTTGGTGGGGGAGGCAAAGACCCTGGTTTGTGGGGGAGGTGGGAGAAGGGGGTCCTGGGCTGGCGTGGCAGAGGTGGGAAGGACCCAGGCTAGTACAGCTGCAGCCCAGCCCTCCGCTGTGGCCAGGGAGAGAGCTGGGGTTGCCTACCCCCTGGGAGAGGGGGTTGGGCAAGTGCAGCGAACAGGGGGCACAGCCCCCTAGTATATAATATGTATAAAAATTGGTGTGTGTTCCCATTGGGAGTATCTGCCTTCGTACAGGAGTTTATATACTGGTATTAAATACGTAAGGTGGCCTGGAGCAGCACTGAGAGGCTCAAATCAAGGTGAAATGCTTAGAACCAGGGCTATTCACACGCCAGGACTGGGGTCCTCCTCTGTAAGGCACCAAACCAGTCACACATGGCACTCCAGTTGCCAATCTGGCCAGCAAGAAATTGCAAAAGCAAATCCCCTTAGACACTCCAGCTTTACCTGTGCCTCAACCAGCACCACTCCTTACAACTTCATCTCACCAACTCCGAACAGATTCTCCCAGTCCCAAAGGACCATCCAGAGTCTCAGGTCAATTTATACCTCAGATCTTACCCGAAAGAGAACACTGTACCGATCCTTTAGAAACTAAAACCTAAAGGTTTATTCATAAAAGAAAGAAAAGGTTGAGAGTGAGATGGCTAAAGAAAGCACATTCCATACATCAATCACCAAGTCCTTGATGCAGGCTCTTAGCAGAGATGTAACAAATTGCTAGCTTAAAAGTCTGTGGAGTACATCCTATGTTAGGATGGGTCCACAATTTCTTCCCAGCCTTCTGTCCTTAGCAAAGGTGCTTCTGGAGTGGAGGGCAGGAGCGAAGACTAAGATGGAGGCCGGAATACTTTTATAACCTTGCCCATAGGGGAAATCCATTGTTCTCCTGAGTGATGGTTCCTCACATGATTGCCAAATCAGTCAATGTCTGTTTTAGGCAAGGAGCCATGGAGTACCCAGGTATGTCCTTCTCAGGCAAGGGGCCATTGTGTGTTCCTCAGGAGTCAGTTGGCAACCCTTAAGAGCCATTTTCCATGTAGCATTCACTGGGCCACCACCCCTCACAATAGGTGGTTGACATCTGCTGCTGTCTCCCAGACCAAAAATATGTAAAATGAAAGTACAGAGCCCATATTCATAACTTTACATACAAAAACCATACAAGTATATGAGTAGCATAGACAAAATCAGCATAGCATAAGCTTTCATTAGACACCTCACAGAGCCCACCTTACATAAATTTTGGGGCAAACACAGACAGTGGGTGCAACAGTGCTCTGCATTTTCTTAATACAACCCAATAACATGACACCAGGTTTGTGCTTTTGCTAGTGTACATCAACATAGTTACATTGACTTCAATGGATTTCTTCCAGTTTATACCAGCAGCAGATCTAATACTTCCCTTCTGTGTAAATTAACCCTTAGCGTGGTGTTGTGGGGTCCACAGACCTTTTAACATTGTCTCTTTTTAAAGCACCAACAATATTTTGCTTTCTCACAGGAAGCTTTATAAGCGTTACGCTTTCCTACGCTGTGAAGAAGAACGAGAGCAGTTCCTCTATCACCTGCTTTCACTCAATGCTGTGGATTACTTCTGCTTCACGAGCGTCTTCACCACAATCAGTGAGTTGGGGACTCAGACTTTGTCTTGAGTGAAAAATGGTCGCTGCCGGGGTGACGGAAGAGTGATCCTGAGATGATCAGTGTAACTGGGGTCTTACCAAGCAGCCTGCAATCATGGCTACTGAGATCAGCACCTCTGGGAGTTGCTTTGGGTAACCAGCTGTGTGTAAGCTCATGTGCGAGTGTTTTGGATACAGAATGGGATTGTGGAGGAGAGTAGCATTCAGATAATACTACAGTATTTAGGTGTCCTGGTAAAATTTTCATATAATAGAATTACGTAGCCCTTCATTTTTTTATTACCTAGAAAAGTCTGCTACATCTCCAGGCTTCCCCATGTTTTGCCACTATATGTCCACCTATGTCTGAGAAACAGATAGGACTTTGTGGGGCCTGTTAATGGCACACTTTGAAGGATGAGACAGAAGTAGAATTACATTGCTACAAATGGCGTCCGGTCCATTGAGTTGGGAAAGTTGACAGCCCTACTGTGTCCATATGTGTACACTATGTACTGTTTCCCCTTTCAACCCAAGCAATTAAAGTTTGGGTCTTTGGGGATGTTCCATTTCGAAGTAGAAATTGCGGCTTTTCTTGCCAGATTTCTTCTGCTCTTCTCCCTGTTGTAGTCTGTCACTTCGGTTTCTCTCTCTCTCCTATCTCAAAAACAGCTGCACAAAACAATGCTCCACTCAAAAACTCCTGGGTGGGTTCACACACCCCTTTTTGTCTTAGGTGGGGCTTACGCACAGGCGCTAAGTTTTTATATTTCTCTGGAGGTGTTCCTCCCTCACTCTGCCCCTGCTCTAAATCCCCATTCTCTTGTGGTCTCTTCCCAACCCTGCTCTGTTCCCTCCCCCAAGACCCTGCATTCACTCAGTTTTTCTGCCTTTGCTCTGCCTCCTCTCCAAAAGCTGTGCCCTCACACCTCCCCTTCCTGCCCTCATTCCAACCTGTCCCCTTAGGCTCTGCCCACCTGCCACTCTTTACTCTCCACCTGCCCCAAAGTGGCTTCTGCCAGTCACCAAACAGCGGATCTGCTTCTGCTGTGGTAGGTGGGTGCTGAGCCTCCCACAGGTTTTTCCCCAACACCACAGAGTGTTTTTAGTTACGTCAACTGAAAGGTGAGTGCGCACCCATCGGCCACCATGGACGTTTAGCCCACCAAGCTGCTTCAACATTTTAATTGACTCGAGCCACATGTGCAGTTGAGCAGCACTGGTGCTGGCCACATACAGACTCAGAATGGTATCCTCTGCACAGTGTGACCTTGCATGTATTTTACAGGCAAGGTCACTCTGAGTGGTGGAAGCAGTTTTGTAGAGGAAGACTGCTTTGGGCAATTTCACCCTACCCTTTAGATGCCAGTTGGACCAGTAACCTATCCCATCTCACATCAAGGCCTACTGAGATTCCCGTAGATTTTAAGTGGAGCTGAGGGAATAGTGTCCACTGAATTGTAGCACTGTATAATGAGGGTCTGCTTTGTAATATTGCAGAGGATGACAGCTCCAGATCTGTGTCTTCAGCCTGACAACACATTATTAACAGCTTTGCCAGTATTCTGATACACAGGGCTATAATGATAAATTCGAATTATATTGTTTCATTCTTAAAATGGAGATTCAATGAAGCAGGCATTTTCTAAAGTTCCTTATTGCTCTGAACTGGTTTTACTGCAAGGTTAATGCTCCTAGCTTTCATTGCAGTACAACAGCAACACCTGGTGGCTGTTCAGATCAATCACAAATATATTGTTTATGCACAAGTAAGGAAAGGCCTACCTATCTCATTCTCTGACTTGTCTCCCACATTTCCATCTCAGTGTTATACTGGGGTCCATTTTGATCATTTCTTATTTATTGGCTTATGCACCGTGTTTGGTATATATAGCCATTGAAAAATGTTGGCCAGTTTTCATTTGAGTATATTAACTCCAAATGTTGCAAGAGAACACCAAAAAACGTAAAGGATGTTGTTTAAATTTGAAGGACAAAAGACTCTTGATGTCCTTCCTAGCTCTGCACATTGAGAACATTTTGTTTGCAATGACAGAGACTTTAGGAATTGATTGTTGAGGCTGCACTTATACACAAGTGAATAATTGGTGCCTGTGTTGAAACCACCCAAAAGCTACTGTGCTGCACATTAGCTTTAGTTTAACATCATAATTCCTATGATGTGCATTCTAGAATACTAAATGAGTTGACAGAGGATGTATCTAACCCCTTAGCTATCATCAGATTATCAGATATGCCAGACTATTGGAAGGGGGGCTTTCAGGTGTCTGGGGTGGAGTGGGGGGGATGCGCCCCTCGGCGCTAGGGGACCAACCCGGCAGCACTCCAGCTGCTCTGCCCCAGGCATCTCCAAGTCAGCTGCTGCTGAAACTGACCAGCAGCTAATGCCGGGAAGCCTGGCGTAGAGCAGCTGGGGTGCTGTGCCCCCGGCTTCCCGGAGTCAGCTGCTGGTCAGTTTCAACAGTGGCTGACTGGGAAAGCCGGGGGCAGAGCAGCTCCAATGGTCCGGCTGCCCGGAGCACTTCTGGGTTCCGGACGGTGCCGGACCATCAGGAGTGCCGGACCATTGGATGCCAGACCAATGGAGTTTTACTGTACTAAGCGATCTAAATTTGAAATGGTTTTATGACCTCTTTTATGATGTGTGTCTATTTTTCATTGTTCATGCAAACACTGCATGTTGGATACTTTTAAAATTCTCATTTACAGTATGTATTGAAGGATTTTTACTTGTAATACTTCTGAGGTACAGCACAAGAACCAGGTCCTAATTATAATCCATTGTGTAAATCACACTCTTAAAATGCAGTTGTTTTGATTCTGGATTTTTTTCCTCCCTCGTTTTAGTGATTCCATACAGGAGTGTGATAATCCCTATCAAAAAACTAAGCAATGCCATCACCACATCAAACCCATGGATTTGTGTTTCAGGAGAGCTAGGAGATACAGGAATAATGCAGATCCCTAAAAATCTCCTAGAAATGACATTTGAGGTACGTGCTCAGTCTTCTTTTTCAATATTCAGTTTTGAGCATTACTAAGAAACATTTTTTTTTTTTTTTTTTTTAGAGCACAACTTTTTAAATAGTTTGTGTGTCCACGGTCACTGTAGACTTGAAATAAAAGCCAGAAAACTAGTGGTTGTAAAGTTCTTATCTTCATTGATGAACAGAACAGATCTGTCTGCTGTCAGAACTCTCTCACTGGCTTTTGCTTACCCACTGTGTCTCATTCATACTACTGGTCCTCATCTTGAACAGCTCTCTACAACTTACCTCAATTTACATCCCTCCTCACCTTTCTTACTATTCTCTGCTTTCCCTTTGCTCTGTCAGTGTCAACAGCCTCCCTATGACATTCTTACCTCCTCTCCTGTCTTAAAGCTTAGCTCCTTGCTGCCCTCGATCTATTTGAGCTCCCTTTGCTGAACACACAAAAAGCTATGGTAAAGGGATCAAAATGCTGATTCCCACATATCTTTAGCCTGCTGAGACCGGGCGAAGTTTACGTACTATGCAGCTACTTGGTAAGCAGCTTCTAGGCATGCCCTTGGTCATACATTTTGTGTCTGACTCTCCTCTTTGCAGTGGGGACTCCACAGTGCAGTTGCTTGAAACGAGTGCCATCTCCCCAAACCTAACAGCAGCTCCTGTATGTTCCCCTGAATCTCACTAAAGGTGAATATCTGCTAGTTTTCAGTTACCTCTTCAGAGTGATCCAGTGACAGTGGTCGTCTAGCCCCTGCCTTGGGCAAACTGCAGTCTGAAACTGCCACTCATCATTGGCAAGAGAGTGTGGACCTGTTGCCTTTTCCTATTACTGGCTGTGTCCCTGCAGCCTTAGCACGCTCAGGCCTTGACTAAGGCCCTGCAGGCTGGGAGTGAGGTCAGGTCGAAGCTCCCCAGCTCTGACTCCCTTTCCCCAGCCCTGCTGTACCGCCAGGAAGCCTCTTGCTCAATGCCAGAGCAAGTATGTGTCGATTCTCCTCCTGCAACCCCAGCTGGACCCTAACTGGTTGCATCTGCCTCAGCTATGGGCTCCATTGCCTGAGCCTTCCCCCAGGGCTGCGTTTTAACCCTTAAAGGGCCAGTACAGGTCAGATGTCCTAGTGCACTATCCAAAACAATACACACCCCATTTCTCTCATTCCTCACTACCGTGGAGAGTACTTTGGGCTTGGGCAGAGTTATCTAGGGTGTTTAGAACCCTTCCCCTGCAGTTCAAGAGTCTTTCCAGCCCAGCTGGCTTTCCCTGTCCTTGGTTAGGCCATAGTTAAAGCAATCCCCTTTTATGAAAGCCTGATCATTTCTTCCACTCTGCTGCCAAAGTTTTCTGTCCCTTGAAAAACCTTCTACCTTTTGCCTTCTTTGAGTCCTTTTTAAGTCCTGGCTTTTTTACCTCTGTCCCTTTTTGCTCTATTTGGGAATTTTCCACACACTCCACTTCCCCTTTCTTGAAGTCAAGTTGGAGAAAACAGCTTCTCACAGCTCCAAACAACCTCCTCCGCATGCCCATTAAGTCTAGAGCAGAATCATGACAGTTAATGATTCTACCCTGTCCCTGATCTGATCAGCATGTGCTGTTCATGTCAGCAAGAGGTGGATTTCACACCCCCGTAGGCCAGGTCTACACTGCCGAAGAAAGTCAACCTAAGATATGGAACTCCAGCTACAAAAATGAGGTAGCTGGAGTCCACGTACCTGAGGTTGAATTTCTGCAGTATTCCCCACTATGGATGTAAATGAGTAGTCAACGACTAACTGATAAGCCTACGCTAGATGAGAGTCAACTACTTGCATTTCTCCACCACCACCCCCTTTCCTCTGTATCAGAGGCAACGGGGTGGGGAGGGGAGCAGGAGCCAGTGCTGTGGGGGGAGCCAGCACCATTTCCACAGTCCCATCTCCCTGCCCATGCTGCTGCCTCTGAGAGATAGCAGCGTGGGGGGAGGCTGCCAAGAAGCAGCCTCTGCCCGTGGCAGGCCTAGGCTCACTGTGGGCAGAGGCTGCTCTGGCAGCAGTCCCTGTCTGCGGAGGTCCAGGCTGGCCGTGGACAGAGGCTGCTGGACTCGACTCAAGCTGGGACTGAGCGAGCCTGGCTTGGTCCCAGCTCATGCTGGGTCCAACAGCTATCCCTGCTTTAAATGTAGTAGGAGCCGGGCTGCCTGCCCACCTGGCTCTTACTACATTTAAACTACAGAGCCACAGCGGGTGTAGCTCCCGGACCCGGCACGAGCCAGGACTGAGCTCCTTCCCTTATTGACTAATCATGTAGTTGACTAAACGATCAGTGAAATACCCGCTTCTTAACATCCCTATTCCCCACTGCGAGAGGTCAAGAGAGACTCTCATGTCAATTTCCCTTATTCCTTGTGATCTGATGGAGTACTGGGCTTGACCGAGGCACCATCAGCGTCTCTTTCGCGGGTCCTTACTAGGTCTGCTAACGCGCACCCCGGGAAATTGATCTCTGGAGTATCAATCTAGGGGTAAGTGAAGACAAACGCTTCGGTTGGGTGGCGAACCTTTTTTGGGTTGGGGGCCGCTGACGCTCAGAAAAATCAATTGGGGGCTGTACACAAGTGGGGGGAACCCTCACTGACATGGTCCCTGATTGAGAAGGAGAAAGACACTCCCCACGTTCCCCTCACACACCAGAACTTAGGAAGGTTAGCCTAGTAGATTTTGTGTGCTCCAGCCTTGCGGTGGGGCAGCAGTGGGGCTGGAGCACCACCACTGGCTCTCTAGTGTTGGGGGAGCAGGTCCATGAGCCTCAGAAGCCAGATCCACTCAAGCTGGGGGCCACATCTGGCTCCTGGGCCTGAGGTTCCCCACCCCTGCCCTACGTACTTCTATGCTGCAGCTGGAGGAGCTGCAGTTTTAAGTAGCTGCTCCTTCACAAGAGACAGCTTGGATTAATCACCTAGTGCAATCCCTTCTGATACCCTAGGTGTATACTTAGGCAGCTAGCCCGTACCGCTGTTTTTTGTGGTATACTGATGCAAGCAAAGCCATTGTGTGTACATCTCCCTGAGCTGGAAATTGCATCTCCAGGTACAGTGCAGACATACCCATAGAAACATTTCCTGATCGAACAGTTTCATAACTTCTTAGCATCAGATGTAATTAATGCCTTGGTTTCATCAATCAGTTGACAGTTATGGACTGTTAAAACCATTGCATTTGGTACTAGAGTATAAATTTATCATACAGTGTACTAACGTTATTACTCAGTCCTGGAAGCAGCTGCATTGAATGAAACAAACGTCAGAAGGCAGTAGAAATGGAAGGCAGCAAACAGAATGATTTTTTTAAGACAAATTAAGTTTAAAAAGATAGCAGAATATGAAATGAGAGTACTGGATTGGCTACAGCAAAGAAGATTTATGGTGGTGGAGACACTGAAAGACAACAATGGGATGACATAAAAAATAATGCAAAAAATAATGCAACATACAGTCAAGATCAGCCTGACCTAGAGGCCAACTAGGGTATGTTTACACAGCAAAGTTATTTCGGGATACCAGAGGTATCCCGAAATATCTACCCCACATCTTTTGAATGCGTTTGCTATTTTGAAATATAGCAGATGTGGTATTTCACCATCCCTGTAAACCTCATTCTATGAGGGATGGCTCAAAATAGTAATTTATTTTGAAATTTGGCACTGTCTACACAGTGCCAAATGACGAAATAAGCTCTTTCTAAATAGACTTGAAATAAACTATGCAATTTGCATAGTGCAAATTGCACATCTTATTTTGAGTTTCAGGTGCTGTGTAGATGCACCCTTACTGAGTAGATACTGAGATGTTGTATGTGGGGACATGGCCAAGCTAGGCTTAATGGAGGAACAAGTCTTGGACAGGAATGAATAGCAATGAAGTACTTTTCCCTGTATTGGCAAAGATGCTCTGGAATGAGAGGGACAGGTATCATCCCTCTATAAATGGAATGGTCTCCCAATATGTCAGACATTTTATCATTCCAAATCCCTTCAAAAGACCCCACTTCTTTTTCAATGCTCCTATATTCTTGCCCACCTCAGCTGCACAACATTTGTGTGAATAATGTATTTAACAGAGACAATCTCTATGCTGACATTTAAGCAGGGCTGGACCACAACATTTTGGCACCTGAGGTGGGGAGCTCAAATGACGCCCCCATACCCCTTCGCTTGAGCCAAAACTTTGAAAGGTCTCGATTCTGCCTTCTTCCTGTTCTACTCCTCTCATGGCACTCCTCCATCTCGAGCAGAGAGAATACATATGCATCAGCAGCAGACACAATTTTCTACATGCTGGGTCCTAGTGGCGCCCCCTCCCCCCCACACACAGACTAGCACCTGAGGTGGCTGCCTCAGTTCACCTCATGGTAAGGCCAGCCCTTCATTTAAGGCACTGTTCCAACAAACACTTCATGTGAATAGTCCTGTTGATTTCAATGGGATTGTTTGAAGGTGTGAAGATACTCTCCAGTATAAATGTTTGCAGGATTGAAGTCTTAAATTGTAACAACTTCTGAATAGGAACATGCCCTATATATAGCATCTAGCAAAATGGTGCCTACTCTGCATTGGTGCCTCTGGTCATAATATAATGTAAATATTAAAAAATAGTGCACTGGACTTTATCTGTCTTTCATGGTCATAAACTTTTCGGGGGGGTACTTCATTTCATGAAGGACTAAGCAAATTGGCATTTAATAGTAATTGATAATAATGACTAGCTTCCAGCAACAGAATGACTATTCATATTTACAAGATACTTTTTGAAAAATTGAGCATACTGAAAACAAATTTAATAAATAAAAGCACTTTTCTTGCCTATTTATCTTAGACAAAGCATGCTTAACACAGTTCCTAATTATGCATCGTAAACTCTCACTGCACAGATTATAATCTCTGAAAGAACGATGAATTTGTTTTGAGGTCCTTCTGGGTTCCTGTTTTATTCAGTAAGAAACATCAATTATGTGGATACTCAATGTGTTTTCAGCTGTGTTTGCTTAGTTATGAATCCATGCTTCCTAAAGAAAGCATAATTAAACAAAATAGTGAATTAAACTATTGTGGGTTATTTTCTAATCTCTTTCTTTCATTTTCAGTGCCAGAATTTAGGAAAGTTAACAACCGTTCAGATTGGTCATGACAATTCAGGGTTATTAGCCAAGTGGCTGGTAGATTGCGTCATGGTGAGAAATGAAATTACAGGACACACATACAAGTAAGCAATAAGTTTTAAAGGTTCTAACTTTCTAAATCTGAACTATTATGCAAACAAGTGACTTGACTTAGACCTTAGAGATGCTCAGAGATCCTTTTAGGTTTTAAAAGCTATAACTGAAGCTGAAAGATGTAGTTAGAAATACAAGGGGAAGTTTGACAGTATGAGATTTTGTTAGTCTGCTGAGACAGAGCAAACAGCATATTTCTAAAGTACTTATCACCATTATCTCTAATAGTCAAATTGATAGGCTTATGTATGATGGGCTTATGTCTGTCCAGCACAGCTATATATAAACAAATTCATTCCCAAAAGCTTGGACAATTGATTTTAAAATGGTAGCTGGCCAAAAAAGAAAAGCCATTAAATGTCTAAAGATTTGAACAGGAATACAGAAGCACAGCTTTAAGAAAATGAAAGTTGTTCAGATGGCTGCGGATGTGTATTCTGCTTAAGTGTGCACGTGTCCAGCGTACCAGTGCCAGAGAACTTGTTTAGAAGTACCCATCAGTTGTCACTTGTGCCTTCTCTCTGTTGTAGCCCCTTTCATGTTTATACGGATTATCACCACCTGACATGCCCCATTTCCTTTTCCCTGACCACAGTTTGATTTGGAGCGTTCAGTGTGGTAACGGCCTGATGTACGCCTTTTCCCCATCCTCAGACTGAATCTGCACCCTGCCAAACTGATGCTTATTGTGCCAGCTTGTTGAAGATCATGTTGGTTCTCTGACCTTTATCTATCCATCCAACTGACCGGCCAAATCAGAGCTGGAAGAAATCTCAGGAGGTCATCAAGTCCAGCCCCTTGCCCAAGGCAGGACCAATCCCAACTAAATCAGCCCAGCCAGGGCTTTGTCAAGCCGAGACTTAAACACCTCTAGGGATGGAGATTCCACCACTTCTTTAGGTAACCCATTCCAGTGCTTCACCACCCTCCTAGGGAAATAGTTTTCCCTAATATCCAACCTAGACCTCCCCCACTGTAACTTGAGACCATTGTTCCTTGTTCTGCCATTTGTCACTACTGTGAACAGCCTCTCTCCATCCTCTTTGGAACCTCCCTTCAGGAAGTTGAAGGCTGCTATCAAATCCCCCCTCCCTGTTCTCCAGTCTAAACAAACCCAAATCCCTCAGCCTCTCTTCGTAGGTCATGCGCATCAGCCCCCTAATCATTTTGGTCGCCCTCCGCTGGACCCTCTGCAGTGCATCCACATTCTTTCTATAGTGTGGGGCCCAGAACTGGACACAATACTGGACACAAATATCTTCCACTCCGCTTCAGTATTCAGTAGTGGAATCTGGTGGAAAGGAATTGAGTAGGGTTCAGATGGAGCTGTCCTTGCGTAGGCATGGGAGGGTATTTTAGGGTCAGAGGGGATAAGCACTACCCTGATAGATACAGCTAAGCACACCTTTCTGGCTTTGGTGCGCTGGCTGTGTGCACACCTGAATGGAATATACATCTGCACCCACATCTCAAAGAAAAAAGTTACAGTATAGATAAGTAACTGTCTTCTTCATTGGGTATTTTAATCTGAGGTTTTACATTTACACACTTTCATTTTGTATATGTAGAATCTAAAAGAGCCCCATCATATACTTTTTGTGTAACACTCTTCTGTCTTCTATTGTCTAATGCTTTCATACAAGCTTGAAGGTTTTCCTTTTGATTTGACAAACGTGGGTAGTTTTTCTTTGTTTTTAATGGAGCTAACGTTAACATTGCTATGTCTTAATTACTTTTTTGCAGTCAATAACATGGATGGCCAGCACAGCTTTGATAAGAGATAATTTGTTGGATAATCAACAAAGTGAGGGGTGTCACTTTTTTTTTTAAAGACACTTTTTCCATTGCTTAGAAATAGAGGGGCTTGTTTTTTTTAAGTGGCAGTTTGTGACTCCAAAGATTATTTCCCATCAAATAACAGTGTTTGGGTGGGTCATAGCTGACGCTTAACTTTGAATTTGAGTTGGAATCATACATTAGTTGAAACTTCTCTGTTGGGGGCATACCACAGGTTCCCGTGTGGACGATGGCTGGGGAAGGGAGTTGATGATGGCAGTCTGGAGAGAATTCTTATTGGAGAACTGATAACTTCAACGTCAGATGATGATCTTGGGAAGCAGTGCCGTACCCCCCCTCTACAGAAATCCCCAACCACAGCTCGCAGACTGAGCATCACCTCCCTTACAGGAAAGAATACAAGTAAGCCCAAGCCATTTACAGTGCTCACAGCTATAACCCTGATGATAGTGACTACTAGAAAATAAAGGCATGTTTAACAGGATTGTAACTGCTAAAAACTAGGTTTAATCTGAAGGCATAATTCTTTCCAGCCCTGCCTCTGCCTCGGATTTGCTTGCTGACTTTGGTCAAATTACTTAATCTACCTGGATTTTCCCGCTTGCCCAGTGGGAATAAAACCTGTCACTAAGAGCACAAAATTCTGAGGGTTATTGTAAAGTCACAAGTACTAAATATTTTTATTTCTTTTACTAGTGTCTCTTTTTCATGCAAAACATAGTCTAAAGAGAGCAACATGAAACCAGTGCTGCGAACCATGCATGCAGCTCTGTGCATGTCTTCAGAGCATTTCCTCAGGGGTGGGAATTGCAATGCTCAGTGATTCTAGTTGCCTTTCAAGTCACATGAGGCCTCTGCTTTTGATATGTCGAAGGCCCATCAGTATTTTAGAAATAAAAACACTGAATTGTATTATATTGAAAAATTGGAAAGCATTTGGAAAAGAGCTCTGAGACTGAGTCACGTTCTGGAACATGCTAAAATGGGAGATTAAAGAAACACTATAAGCACTAAGCAGCTTGTAAACATATTAATAAATTACTTGATGACATCCTTTAAGTACCTATGTAGAAAGAAGATTTCTGATAATAGAGGACTCTAATATAGCAAGATCAAATGGCTGAAAACTAGAGCTAGGCCCATTGAAACCAGATACAGGGGGTACTTTTTTTTTTTTTAGCGAGGGTAAGTAATCATTGGATAAACATACCAAGGAATGCTATGGATTTTCAGTCAACCTTGAAGTCTTTTAATGTACATTAGATGCTTTTTTTAAATGTTATGCTCTAATTCATCAAGATGATGTGGATTTGATGCAGGAATTACTGGGTGATGTTCTTTAGCCTGCATTATACCGGAAGTCTAGTTGAACTCTTAGCAATTCAAGAGCACTTCATGTGTGTGTGTGATGGATAGAGATTCATTAGGTGAAATAAATTATGTATAAACGCAAGTCTGTGGCCTGTGCAGTTTGTCCAGCAATATATTGGATTAGTTTGATGTCACCTACAGCTGAAGGTTGTATGTTTGTTACATGCAAATAACTCCATGAGCTTTCCCTGTATAAAAGATAGAATGTTTCCTGCACGTGTGAACTAAGTCTAGTTGTCTGTGTTTGTTTAATGTGTATTGTCTTAATATTGTTATATTCAGCAACTGTGTTTTCCATTAATTTACAGAACCTAATGCAGGGCAGATCCAAGAGGGAATTGGGGAAGCTGTGAACAATATTGTGAAACATTTTCACAAGCCAGAGAAAGAGGTACTTGCTATCATTTCTGTAATTAGAAGAGGAAATGAATGTAAATCTTTTTATAACCAGAGAAATGGGGATCTGTGTACCAATAACCCATGTTAAACCTGGGCTTTGAAGTTCATTGTACTTAAGAATGGTTGTATCTTTTGGTTCCCTAGAGGGGCAGCCTTACTGTTCTACTGTGTGGTGAAAATGGCCTGGTTGCAGCACTGGAGCAGGTCTTTCACCATGGATTTAAATCAGCTCGGATCTTCCACAAGAACATATTCATCTGGGATTTCATAGGTAAACTGATGCGTTACGTTGGGATGAGAGCAGAGAAAGGATTAAAGGGAAATGGCCACAAGTGCGCATACCTCTGTCTTTTACCTCCGGTTTTAATAAGCTTGGGCTCCATTCCGTTTCTACAGGACAAGTTTCTCGAGATAACCCTTTAAGAGTGTTGTTTGTACAGTGTTCAGTGAGACAAAAACAGTCCCTGTCCTGAGCAGCTTTCAGTCTAAGACAGGCACAGATTAGATGAAGTGAACTGGAAAACCCAGGTGAGATGACAAGTTGGGACATGAACAGGGTTTTTTTCTGCGTCGCCAACACACACGTAATGCTGGGGTGGAGTGGGGAGGGCTTTTAACTGATGTGAGCTAATAATGTATTTTAGCCTAGTAAAAGTGGGTGTTTTAGGAGGCATTTGAAGGGAATGGCTGGCACAATTGGAAGTGGGGCAGTTACCCAAGCAGAGGGGGCAGTGTAAATGAAAGCAAAAGGACAGGAGCTAAAGAAAGAAACAGTGTAAGGATATGCATAATTCTAAGATGTTTTATGCAAAATAGGTCTTGAATTGTATCAGTCTTATAGTTGCAATTTGTTCTATTTAGGTGTCTTGTTTGCTGCATGTATCATTCTGGTATGTGAAGTTAGAAATATGAAGCATGAGTCTTTATAGTTTTAAATGTGCTAATGAGAGCCATTATTGGTGCCCAGGAAGCCTAATGGCTTGGTGATCAACTTAACGACTTGTAAACAGCTTTGTTTGTCCTATAAGTCCAGAAGGTGGTTGATCTAGAAAGACATGTGACCATACCACTTGGTACTGAAATCCATTTTGAGCCTGGTGTTTTTCCATGGGAGTGGGGATGCCAAACAAAAGATTCCTGCCCTGGAGGAAAGTCTGTTTAAGGAAAATAGGAAGCTATCAGCCCTTTATATTTGGCACTTGGAAACTGCCTGGCACACCCTAAGAGAAAAAAGAACTTGAAAGAAGTCTGGAGGCCCAGATCAGAGTAAGAGATCATCTCTGTCTTGAGGCTTGTGCCTGAAATAACAGCAGCTGTTTTGGTAAAAATTTGCGTGTATCCAGTTTCTTAGTGAATTAGCACTAGCCCTGCATTTTTTGTTCATTTTTATTTAGAAATCTATTTTGATCTGTTTACAAGAGAAAACAACCACTTAAATCCTACTTTTTGTACTTAATAAAAACATTTTTGTTTACTGTCAGGCCAAGTGTAAAAAATTGTTACCTGAGGGGAGCAAATGGTGTGCATCTCTCTTTCGTTGATAAAGGAGGTGAATCCTCATGAGCTTTCCCTGTGAAAACCTTTTACACAGAGAAAGATGGACTTATTTGGAGTTGGTTTCCTGGGTGTTGTGCTCTAGAACTGTATCCTCCCAGAGCTGAAGTGATTCAGTGTCTGCATTGCTCTACAGGGGGATGGTAACCCTGGCTCTGTGCCTTTTGTCTGAGCGAGACCAGAGGATCTGGTCCACAAGGACAGGGAGGTGGAGAGCCCTGAGAGCAAGAATGCAGGCATCAGTGGCATGATCAGCACAGTCCCAAGTGGTCTTCCATGACCACATCCTGTCACACCCATGTTTCACCCTATATTGATATATAGTATCTGTGAGGTAGCTTTTGGCACATGCTGCCTTTTTCTAATGGCTTTCTTTGCATAGTTGTAAGGTGCTACGGTAGCTTCAGGGTGTTTCCTATGAATCATGGCATGGTTTTACTTTCTCTCCCCAGAGAAAGCTGTTGCTTACTTTGAAACCACTGACCAGTTTGGGGACAATGAAGAGGATGTCTTGCTTCAGAGATCATCTTGCAAAACATTCTGTCACTATGTAAATGCTGTCAGTTCTGCACCAAGGAACATTGGGAAGGATGGCAAATTCCAGATCCTGGTTTGCCTGGGAACTAGGTACAGATTGGCATCCTTCACTGTGGTGTTCTCTCATGTTACAATGTTGTTCAACTGACTGTTCTATCACTCTTATTGGACACCTTCATTGACCAGCTTTAAAATATCTTGGACGTATCACTTGTCCACTTTTAAATAAATGCTCTTAAGAGCAGAGGAGAAATTTAAGTTAGATGTATATTATTCTTTATGATTAGTGTATACATTTCTGCAAGTCATTTTTTTCAGTTTTAATGAAATTCAGGTTAATGCTGGGAAATTGTGTGCATGTCTGTCTTTAAGTGATTTTTACAGAAAGCACAGGCCTTATGAGTTCAGCATATCCTCAAAAGAGGAATCGGTCCACTTTTTCTTCCTCCACTCTTTTTAATAACCTAAACGAAAACAGCACATGTCTATTTTTGTCTTTGAAAACCTTTTGGGATGGAAAATCTGCCCTTCTTAATAAGATTCTTGTGTACTTGTATAGATATCTCTTCCTTTTTCGCTTCCTTTGTCTTATGCATCTAGATATTTTTATTTTTTAAATTACATTTCACCGATATAGAATTCCCTGGATTTTTCTTTCATTGCTACTAGCCTGGAAATTAAACTGCTTCTTTTCCCATGGCATTAATCTGACTTCTTTGATCTCTTCCCTGCCTCTATTCTCCTATGTCAATCCTCAGCAAATTAAAATAATTATTTTACCTATACTGTGGTCAGAGATTTATACTGAAACACACTCTAAAAGTTTTAGATGGTTTTTTCATTGACCCAAATATAATAGTGTGCTTCTGTTTCTCCGAATAGAAATTCAGAAATAGTAAAACGAATTAACATCTACTGAAAACTGGAATGGGGCACTTCTTACTACATGATTTTATGTAATGTCTAAAAACAACATGATATTCACCTAATTGGGCCTCCAGATGCCACTGCATATAAATAATAATATAAACAGGATCCCACTGAAATAGGAAGCTTTTAAGTGCAAATGACACATGTCACATATAGAAAAATTGATAATGTGTTCTGGGATGTGTTTTAGATTCAGTTCTACTGGACAATATATTGCATTAATTCCACTGTTCTCTCTGATAGGGATCATTTGCTTCCTCAGTGGATTCCATTATTAGCAGAGTGTCCTGCCATCACAAGGATGTATGAGGAGAATGCCCTTCTGCGGGACCGCATGACAGTGAATTCCCTCCTCAGAGTCCTACAGACATTACAAGATTTCAACATCATCCTAGAAGGGTCACTCATTAAAGGCGTGGATGTTTAGCATGGCTTTGAAGAGAACTTCACTATTTCTCTGCTCAGCAAGCAAATGAAAATTGGGGACCTGTTAGAACTTGAATGCTGCGGTAGTGGATCACTGTAAAGCAAAAGCACCCTGTTATTGGGTAGCAGTGGGAAACCCAGTTTACACCAGATTCTGGACTGTCCTAAAGCTGCAGACAAGCTAAAATGCGGTATTGTAGTTTATTTGAAACAGAATAAAAATAGAGTATTTTCATGTGTTAGATGTGTGTAAATATGTTATCTTTAAGAAATTATATTACTCTTAAACTTTTTTCTTAGACAATGTTCTTGTGCTGAAAATAAGTAGCTTACAATTGTGGGAGGGTGGGGGAACAGGGGTGTTGCTGCTTGATAGCAAGGAAGAAGCCAGTCAGTGTGTAAATACAGTGCAAACTCAGCAGGGCTTTTTTCAGGTATTGCAAAGGAACACAGCAAGTAGCAATGTGTAGCCATTGCTCTCATCTCATTCTTGGAAATGTTGTGAATGTATACTGTTTACTGTACATGGTTTCCCCTTATTTTGTGTTTTAGATCCAAACCTTTCCATGCATATAAGCTGTGAGTCGTCATTATTTAAGATCTTTTGTGTAATCTTTATCAGTCAGCACAAGTTTAGGTGCAGATGTAATGTTTAAATGCTAGACATGAGGAATTGTTGAACCTCCAAGAGAACCTACCAGGATCTGATATCTGGCTTGGTTTGGGGTTTGTTTGGTTTTTTTTGTTTGTTTGTTCTTTTTACAGTACCAGACTATATTTGAAAAGTGTCAATAGCTTGATTTGTCATTTTGTCCCTGTTCAGTCAGGTTGGCTGTCTGCTTTTGTCTGTAGGTGAGGACGTACTGTGAGAAGTTTCTGCTTTTATAGATTTGTTGAAGAACTTGGTTCAGAAGATTTAAAAAAAACCAAACTCTGTTTCTGTTTGAGACACACATGTTGCTATAGAGTCACATACACCGACTTTGCTGTGCTACAGAACTGTTTCAACCAGTTGTGATATACTGGCAAGTTACTAGTCTTCCTTTATCCTGAAGAGTTAGTGTTCCTAGGAGGCACAGGATCACTTTTTGCTTTGGAATTATTCAGCTATAAAAAAAAGAGGCAAGGGGAATTGGTGTCAAGGCTTGTGTCTCCTACTGTTTCAAACTAACAATGTGTTAAAGAAACAAAAATGTCACAGACCCAGAACTTGGATTAACTGGGAGCTGCTGAAGTTGTGCATGGTAAAATAAAAGCTAGATTATTTAAAGCCAGGTGGGTGATAGCAGGCTGAAAATATTTGAGAAGTATCATTCCATTTTCCTTCCACTGAGATTAGATTTATGCAAAGCTGGGAGTATGTTAACTCTCAGCCATTATTAACCTTCAGCAGTGGTTCAAAATCCTTTTGTTTGTTTAACTGGTTTAATCAATTTGATCACAACTTACTTCTTCAGTGGATGCCTGGGGACATCACACAGCTTGGTATAAATAGTCTTTGCTTGGGGGAGAGCTCCTTTGCTAAAATAACAAATTACATTGTAGGTCATAATTGCAGTGCGCTACAAAAGATTTTGGATGAATTTTGAACAGTGCTTTTTATGTCTGGAAAGCTAAAATATAATGAAGAGGAACAAGATCCAGAAAATGAAAGGCGCTTAGAAAAAAATGTTTCTTTCCTGCTTGCATGTTGCCACCTTCAGAACAGTATTAGAAAATGGGCATTTTAGTCACTGCTCGCTTGTAGATAAAGTTTAACATATCCAGTGAACTATGGTGAGGCAGGATGAAGATACTGCTCCTTCAGAGTATTTGAAAAAGATTAGGGATAAAGGCAGGCTGAGGGAGGTGGAGGCAAAGTGTAAATTAGATAATACAAAAGTATTAAGTATTGATAGAAAATAGCACTAGCTTTTGCAAATTATAGTAGTGTAAAGCACTGTGGAAGATACTAGGTAGAAGGATTCACCTCCCAGGCTGATGAAGCTTATGCATGGTCTGATGGTGGTATACTCTCTCTTTTTGAGAGCTTATAAGAAATAACCACTCTGCTAGCTGCTGTCCACATGAGCAGTGCTTGTAACAGCATTCATTTTGGTGTCAGGAAGGAAGTCCCACCCCAGATCTCCTGTAAGGATGAAAAGCAAACTGATGGCATCCGTCTTACTAGAAGCAAGAGTTGTGGTGCATGAATAGAAGGCTGACTAAAAGAAAAGGAGCCCAGGAAGGTATCTCATCTGGTCTATATCATTCTCTGCTTAGCAGAGCTATTTCAGTATCTGAACATTTATTCAAATTGTTATCCTCAACATGGGAGGGGTTCTTCATTGCTTCTTGATTTAACCAAGGGCACAGATTTTACCAAAACAAAATTGTTCAGAATCTATCAATCTGCTCTTGCTTGAATTGACCAATGCCATCCAAAATGTTCTATCCAGGACCACAGTCTCACTATTGGTGTTGTGGAGAACTGATCCTGGGAAGCTATGAACAATTCAGTGGGATTGGATTAGAAGCCATATCTGTACATTAACATCTTTAAATCATCAGAAGGGTGTGTTTTAGGATGTCCAAGCCACTCTAGCTAGTCAACAGATGATATGGCCAATAAATGAAAATTCATCCCTACCACTTGACTTTTTGAACGAATTATAAACTATTGTGTGATGCTGAGAGTTCAGAGTTTAAATTTTCATTATTTGCTAACCAACAATATAATGTCCTACAATTAGTGTTAATGTTCCCTCCCTCCCTCCCACCCACCTGACCTCCCATCATCAAAATTATCTTCATTGCACCATGAAAAATTATCCATTTTGTCATTGATCTGTTGGCTTTTTGCAAGTAGATTACATTTCCTTTCCAGAGAAATCTGCATCCTCCTAGTTGTGTTTTCAGGTTTTTTAAGTACTTACGGCTGATGAAGATAAGTAGCCATGACACTGGACTACAAGAAAATTAAGTGGAAAATATGTGTAGCTTAGGGTACAAATGAAAATGGAGGTGTCTTTAAAAGGCAGGCATAGATGGCAAGGACTGTCCATAGCATGAGAGGGGAAGGATGACTTAAAGGTAGTCTTTTAAATCTAAAGAATAAATCAAAACCTGTCTAACTAAAAACCTTAAATATGGATTTTTTTTCCTTACAAACTAGATAAAAGAACCCATAGTATTTCACTTAACACATGAGTGCACATGGAAAAATTTAACTTGTGAGACGCATTTATTTTGTTAAGCTTCACACCACATGAATGATATGGGAAGAACATTATGTCTAAAATTCCCTTGCATGCAATAAAACACTGGAGGTGCCCTAAGGTATTCTGAAGCATGAGGCACAGTTGAGTGCCTCTAATCCCTAATTCACTAGTTACTTGACATCCTAGGGGGTATGGTTCTTTACAATGAAATTTTATTCTTTCATGTATTTTTTAGTAGATTACTTCAATAATTGGAAACTGTGAGGTTTTGTCCTGTGAGGTCTACAGAAATCATTCTAGTTCATTAGAATGGTGAGAAGCCAATCTCTTAAGCTAACACAATTTATACTTCAGTATTAAAGCACCTTCCTTGGTTGAGAAATGGAAATTTTGGAAAGATCAAAGCCCTCTGACACCTACGTTTATTCAGTTAACTCTTTAACCATATATTATCTTTCTAGTGTCTGAGTTCTGCATAGTATTACTATATTAACATCAGTACACTAGATTGAAAGTCAGAAAATCAAATGCATCACTGAGTCTCTATAAAACATGTATTTATAATTCTCTGAAACTAACTGGATTCCATTGTGTTCAGTGAAAAATCTGTTTGCTCTGAGCTGACGTGAAATTAGTTTATCTTTATTCAAAATTATCTCTCTTTTTAAAGTAATGTTGATGGCATAATTAAGAAATTTCTGTCTTTCAGTCAAATGAAGGTGTGAATCTCATAGGGAAATATTCTGTGTTAAACTTGAAATGTACAAATGTGCCCTGTATAGATTTAAAAAAAAAAAGAATCAATTATTATGATTATCATTATTTTGTCTTTACATTATTACTAACTGAATCAGAACTGGATTATTTTCAGAAAGTATTGTTATACCAAGCACTTTAACATATCATAAACTGACATGAGTTTTTCAGGTTTTGAAGTACATTTAAATACAGCTTTTCATGCTATGTTCTTTACAAATAAAACTATAAAAATAAGAACTTGTCACTTTGTCCTTCTTGAACAGCGACCAGAAGATGCATGATCACACTTAATGAGCTGTTTGAAAACTAGAAGACAAGTTCTGAAGATAGAAGAGGTTGAATATAACAATTCTGTTTATATCTTTTTGTGACATTGTAGAGAGAAGCTCATGAGTATTCTGTGTTTGTATTCTCCTTGATGTTTAACTCTGTCAAGCAACAAAATGTGACGGTCCATATCCTTCATTTTGAATGCTTAGGCTGAAATATTTTTGCTGGTCAGAGGAGAGAACCTTGATCATGATGAAGTTTCTCTTACAAAAAAAGGCAAGATGGGTGATGCAATATTGTTTATTGAATCCATTTTTTTTTTTCAAAAGAGATGTGCCTTCAAACTACACAAAGCTCTTTTGTAGGTCTTTTTAGATCAAAGGCTTTTTTTACATTGCCATCTGAACAGCTAACCGCTTGGGTTGTGTGTTTCCCTTTGCATCTAGCATCTGACTTTTTTTTTTTTAATTAAGGGGTGCACTTTGACTGTCAATGTCCTAAAGGTCCTATTTTGTTCTCTAAGAAGCTGAGCTGCCAAAATATTTTTGATCCATGGGTCTAAAACCTGAAGCTGATAAAAGTGCCATATATCATCTGGCTCCAGCAGATATTTTATATGAAGAACACTGCATAGTGTGAAAAGGGGAGATGAAAGTACCATAGAGAAAAGGTGGAAAATCGAACTGATAGAATGGTTCTCCTTCTTCATTGTATTCTAGGAAAAAAAAAGGTATGTACTAGATTTTCAAAAGCATTCAATATTGGCCTAACCCTGCTTCTGCTGGACTTACGTCGGATCCCTACTTACGAACGGGGCTTTTCTCACCACGGAGGACGCGGGCAGCGGGACCAGCCAGACGTGCCGCGGTCCCACCGCCCGCATGCTCCGCGGCGAGAAAAGCCGCTGCACGTCTCCCTGGTCTGCTGGGGAGCCTGGTGCGCCCCCCCAGACCCCAAGAAGACCAGGCTTTCCTCGGTTCTGCAGGAACCAGCCTGGCAGCACCCC